CGCGTCTGCGCGTGCAGGGCGCACGCGTCGGAGTGCGGTGCCGCGGGCGCGGCGCGGAGGGTGGCGGCGAGGACGGCGGCGGAGAGGGGCGCCGTGGCGCCGTCGATGAAGAGGTGGACTTGCAGGGAGGGGTGGCGGGCCTGCAGGGCCAGGAGGTCGCGGGTTGTCTGGGTCGGGGCGGCCATGTCTGGGGTTAGGCGCTCGGGCGCCGGGGCCGCGGCCTGGAAGGGGTTCCACCAGGGGCGGCGCGGGGAGGCTGCTGCTGCTGCTGCTGCTGCTGGCTGGGTGGCCTGGATCTCGTCGCGGGCGCGGACGGCCCAGAGGATGGTCACGTCCGGTGGAGGGCTGTCGGTGCGGTCGAGGACGGAGTGTGCGGCTTGCAGGGCCGAGGCGATGCCGGTGCCGCCTGCGAGAAAGACGAGGCGGCCCGCGGGACGGAGGCGGGCTTGGAGATCAAAGCTGCCGTGGGGTCCGCGGAGGTCGATGGTGGCGCCGAGGGGCAGGCGGCTCAGATACGTGGAGACTTCGCCGCCGTCGATGGCGCGCACGAGGAAGCGCAGGGCCCCGGGGGGTGCGTTGGGGAGCGGCGTGTACTCGCGGGCGATCTGCAGCTGGGGCTGCTTGACTTCGAGGGACCAGAGGTCGTTCGCTGTCCAGGGGGCGGCGAGCTGGGCGGCTACCTCGGATGGTGGGAGGGTGGTGGAGGGGTGGAGAGTGAGGACGAAGGAGCTCGCTGATACGGGTTCGCGGTCTACCAGGGTGAAGGGGGTGAAGCGGTGGTCGTTGAATATGTGAGCTGACGACGGGGCTGAGTCGTCAGTGGTGAGATGGTAGATGGCGGAGGCGGTGATGAGGGTGAAAGCCAGGAGCTTGGATGTTGCCGAGCGGCGCGGCCGAGGCGTTGGGCTTGGTGTTTGAGAGGTGGTTGAGAAGTGTCCCACCCAATATGGGGAGGTTGGCCTTGATCTGAGTCTTGTGCTGCAGAGTCTTATCGTTGATGTTGATGATGATGAGGGAGAAGTCTGCGTCAATATCCTCGTGCGTATCAAGCCCCCCCGTATGGGAAGGTTCCAGCTTGGAAGCATCTTTATCAATTGTCTCTCGCCAAGGATGGAGAGGTCGTGAAGAACTCGAGATAATCAGACTTCCGAGCTCAGCATTGATGAGAGTCGTCGAGATCTGAATGTCCGTCTCATTGGTGTCTCCACATGACACGAGATCACGTGAGAGCGTGATGCCCCTGAGCCTTTCGGCACATCCTCAACACCATCGCAGAACTAATTCATAAGGCATCTGAAATCTCGATGGGGAAATTCATTAGGGCACCTCTCTTACCCTCTACCTGGGCACCAGGTGACCAGAACCCTTTGTCGCGGTGGGGGATGGACCTGACGATAAAGAGCAGATTCGTGTTCAGGCATCATAATGGAGGTCACGTAGTAGGGCAAAGCCACAGTCGTCAGTCTGTCATTTCATCCCTACTCGATGTCGAGGACAGGCAAGAGTCAGCAAGCCGTCATCAGGACCCAAGACCCATCGTCAACCGCTGCTGCAGATCATCCTGGTCCACGTGGAGACGGGCCATCTTGCAGCATGCAACAGGTCTTTCAAAGTCGGCCAACCGGACCCTCGGACCACGACATATTTCGGTCTGAGATGACACCTATTGTTCCCTACCGATAGCCTCAGCCCACGTCCAATGAATACCAGCAGGAAAATCCCCTCGAATCGTTGCTCCTTTGAGCTCACACCCTGATCCAGGCACACGAGACATGTGGACCAGACGCCGAAGCCACCAGAGGGCAAGCGCTTGGAGTAATTCGCAGCCCCGAGCTGCGGTGGTTTCCGTCATGGGTAGCACGGTGTTCGAGGTCGTAAGATCTGACCCCAACCTCCGCTGAAGAGATCCACGGGCCGGCCAGGTTTGCATGAGTTACACAGAGACAACGCACCATCCAATGCTTAGCCCAGTGGTCAGATGTAGGAAAAAAGGACTTGAATCCCGATCACGCTGCACAACCGGCTTGGCGTCAGCGAGAGCCAAGCCCAAGCACACACATGCACTTCATCCCCATGACGCTCAGACACACCACCGACTTGGCGAGTAACCGCGAAGCATTCAGAAGCACAGCCGGAATCACGACAGGCTTCCAATCTTTATACACACCTGGTCTACATCCTCAGCATCTTCCTCTGCTGATCGATGCCGCCGCGGAACATGTCAGCAATGACACGCCCCCCCAGGATGGTCTCCTTGACGATGCCCTCGACGTGCCGCGGCTCCACGCGCCCGTACCAGATGCCCCTGCCCGCAAGGCCATGCTCGGTGCCGTCCTGCGCCCTCATACCCGGCGGCACGTAGACGATGACGTTGCCGGCAAACTTGTGGCCGCCAATATGGCTGATGAGGCCGACCCGCGCCGCCGCCGCACCCCTCTGTGGCGCCCCCTCGCCGCCGTCGCGCGCAGTGGCCCCCTCCTCGAGCCTCCGCCCCTGGTTCTCCTCGACGTCGCCCTCGACCTCCCCCTTCAGGACAGACACGCCGGCCGCGTCGAGCTGCGTCTCGAATTCGCTGCGCAGCACGGGCCCCGTGATGCCACACCGCGCATCCCGCCCGCCATGGCCGCAGATGAGCACGAGGACGTCCTGCACGTCCTGCACGCCGTACAGCATCTCGCGGTAGGCCTCCTTCCGCAGCAGGCGGTCCCGGTGCACCGGCGACAGGCCGTCGTGCACGGGATGCAGGGCCTCGGGCAGGAGGTAGCCCTTGGCCAGCGCCTGGACGCTCTCAAAGGACACGCGCGGCAGGAAGGGCACATACTTGAAGCTGGGGAGCAGGTAGGCCGACGTGGTCTGCAGCTCGGCCCTGCGGCGGGGCGTTGACGACGGGAACGACGCGTTGAGCACCGAGACGTTGTGAAAGGGCTGTTGGAGGGCCAAGGCGCGCGCGACTTACCGTCAGTCGGGTACATGTTTCGGAAGAAAGGAAGATTTTCACATGGCAATCCGCACCAAGACAGGTCTCTGCCAGCATGCCTCATACATAATGCCAGCATGCCTCATACATAATGCCAGAATTCCTCATACATAAAAAAAAAGAGAGAAAAAACTCACATCGCTGTAGGTCCCACCCCTACCAAAGAGCTCCTTCAGATCAGCAGCGAGGTTGTCGCCGCTGTCCTCCTCCTCGATACGCGACGCCCAGTCGTCGCGCCCTGTGCACACGAGCACTTGCTCAGCATAGCCCGAGATGACGCCGTTGAGGGGGCTCGTGTGGTCAATGTCGAGACCCGGTGGCGTGGGCGCGCAGCTACACGTCGGCGCCGGGCACGTCGGTATCGTGGCGAAGGGGGGGTCTGGCGCTGACGCCGCTGGCCTCGGCGGCCTGGCTTTTGGCCGAGAGGTGGAGGATGCCGAAGAAGACGAAGGCGTGGACGAAGACGATGATGACGAGGCTGCTGACGATGACGAGGCTGCTGACGATGACGAGGCTGCTGACGATGACGAGGCTGCTGCTGCTGCAGAGGATGCATGGAGGACATGCTGGCGCGCGGCAGAGACGCAGACGGCGCGTCTCTCAGGCGCGAGGCGCCGTGCTGCGGCTGCCATTGGACGGCAGAACATGGTTCAATCTGAACGGGTAATGACAAGAAGTGAGGAGGCGAGAGAGGCACAGAGTCGTGGTGATGCTCTAGGGAAATCGGGATGAGATGCCGATACTGGGTGACGACGACTGAAGTGCCGAAAGGTGCAGACGAGCCAGACGCGTCAGGGTGTGGCACCGGCCCTGTGGCAGGGCTTGTGTCACTGTGGCACAGGAGAACGGCAGTCCGCAGCGGATGTACATGTACTGTAGCTGCTGTGGCCCCAGTGGCTCCAGTGGCCCCAGTGGCCCACAGACTGCCCTGTATCGCCCCTTCCTCCCCCGGAGTTCTGATCTCCCCCGCCGGGTAAGCACGACCCACCGTCGGATCCGAAGTCGGAGTTGCAGCACCCTTGCTTACTTCATCAGCCGCCCCTGCCAACTTACCTCAGCCTTGAGCCACTGTCCTGAGCTCACATCGCACACGGGCCGGTTTGCCGTCTCCCGGAACTCCGCCTCGGACCCAAGATCTGTCCGACCATGTGTCGCATCCATCCAATTTTCGTCCAAGCTGATTTACCAGTCAGGCTGAAAGCACACACACCCAACATGGCATACTACTCTGCACCTGGCCATGCCATCCGCCTACCTGACCTACCTAGGCTTGCTAGGACACACGCGCTGCATATCTGCAAGCCCATTAATCTCCTAGGCGGCCCCGGTTGTCTTCCCGCCTGCCAATCCACTCGGGGTACCTACAGACTACAGAAGGTACATGGACCTCCAACCAACCGGTACAGTCCTGTATGTACCAAGGGTACATGTCCACCTGCCGAGCCCTCCACACCACACCCGAGACCTCGATTCTTATGCCCTCTTTCGCCGCGGCATAACCAATACGACGAACCGCGCCAACAGGAATCCTTCGCCTTTCGATCTGCCCTTGGCGAAATCCATTTTTTTTCTCTCTCTTTTGTTCTGGGGTCCATCTCCATCTAAACCCCCCTTCCCTTCCCCTTTACATGTACATGTCCGCCGGGTATCCAACAACCCCTGGCCCTTCTCTCGGCGCGCCTTCGATGTCTCCCCTTGTTCCCCGCCGTCAGATGGCTTTACCGAGCTGCATGCCCCCCCCTTCTTCCGTGGAGCCCGGCCGGTCCATCTTCACTTACCTTACACAGTACGACCTGAGAGCCCTATCCACTCTCGCTCGGTCTTGCCAATTGCGGTTCATGTGCACCGGGCCATCCCCGGTTCTGCTTCCCTGAAGTCTGTTCCCTGAAGGCTTGAACCCCCCCTGTGCACCCCCTGCAAGGTTACCCTGCGCCGAACCGACAAGATGCACACATTGCTCGATCGAGCCAAGGGGCTCAAATCCTTCTTTTTTATCTCCTGCCAGAATAGTGGTAGTCAACAGGCAAGCGAACCTTCTTCGTCTTCGTCGTGTTGTTGTTTATAGCATCACGTCGGCCGGCGGTAACCGGCTGGCATGTGCTTCTTTGCTTCTTTGCTTCTCTGCTTCTGGAACTATATACCGTGTCCTCGTGTACAGGGGTGTGTATTTGTGTGTACATGTCAGTGTGTGTGTGTGTGTAGAGTTATGTGTCGTCTTCGTACGTGGACGAGAAGGAATAAAAATAATGCTGCTGCCCGCGAACGATGCTGCTGCTTCGTGCTGCTCGTATATTGACACATCTCGCGCCCCGTCGCCTTCACCAACAATCATTGTCTGTCCTCCAAATGCTGTAGTCCGTGTAAACATTATGAAAGTATGAAAACAAAAAAAGGCCATCAGATGTGTTGAGAAAATCAAGACCCCCCAAGCGCCATGCTATGCAAAGTAAAAATCACAATGTTATCCCTCCAACCTCTCCCCCTCTCGTTCGCTTTGCCCCCCGCCCCTGTCACTCGATGACACACACATACCGCAATCTTCTGTACAGGCAGGCAGACATAGGGTCGGCAGAAGCCCTGCCCTGCCCTTCCCCTAGTGGCGAATTCGATGCTCGGATGCGTACGGTTCAGGCTGCCACGTCCTGTTGAGCAACTCTTCGTGAATCCTAGGCAGCTCAATAACCGGCCGGTGCTGCCATGATGCGCTCGACTTGGCAGTGTCCGGGGTGTGAGCCATGGGTGGCGCATCCGCGGTCGTGGAAGAGTAGCTGTCAAAGCCCAGGCGCATGCGCTTGTGCGACATGGGAGGCTCGGGACTGGCCTGGCGGATCGTCGTGCGCGGCGACACCGAGGCGCTCGAGTTGCTTCCGGGCCGCGCGAGCTCACTTGCGCTGTGCGGGTGGCGGCGCAAGTCTTCCGGCTCAGCTGGTGGTGTTGACGGAGATGTGTTGTGCCCTCCCCTTGGTCTGTACAGGAAAATTCCAGATTAGCCATGGTTGGACCGACAATTGCCAAAGGCGACGCGGGGGAGCAACTTACGCATTCTTGAACTTGCACACACGTCCAAACTTCTCGCACTGAACGCACCGAGGAAAGTCGGGGTCGCACTTGATCTTCTTCTCGCGGCACGTGATGCAAGCGATTGCCAACCTCTTCCTAGGCTTTCCAGCCTTGGTCACACCCCAGTGCGGGTTGACGGCCTCGCCGTCAATCACCGTCTTGCAGTGGCTTCCATCGTCGTAGAAGTAGCACGGTCCTTCGCCTGGCACCTCGGCAGCGCGCACAAAGCGTGGGAGGAAATGCGTGCCGGTCCAGATCTTGGGCCCCAGACCATCCTTGGACGGAAGTCCCTCGGATGTGACAGTGCTGGCGGCCGCAGCCGGTTGAGCCAGCGCCGGCACCGGAGCCGGGCGCTGGTCGCGGAGACTCGATCCGTAGTCCTTGACCCCGGTGAACTGGAACGGCGCGCGGTCGTGCGGCGACCTCAGCGCGCCGTGGCTTTCCCTGCTACCCAAGGAGTACTCGTGCCTCGCAGCCTCCTGATGAATCGACCACCTGCCGCCGAGCCCGTTGTCAGTCCGCGCATCGTGGGTTCGATGATCCGTCTCCTTGGACCGGGAAGAGTCAGAGCCCGAGAGCGACCGGGTCAAGGCGTGCAGTGATGCCCGTTCTTGGTCGAATCTAGCGTCGTACGTGGTGCGAGGTTGTGAGATGGAGGGAGAGCCGGCGGATGGGAAGTAGGATGTCTGATATGGCCTGTCGCCGTGGGCCGAAGACACACGAGGACGATCCAGTGGCGAGGTGGCCGGGTAGTGCGCCGGCCTGTCAGAAATGGGCGAATGCAACGGGCGGATGGATGATGGAGGTCCGAACAGGCTGCTCAGAGAAGGCAGTTGTTGCCGAAGGGGGGCCTGAAGAGGCTCCGGACGACTGTGATGGTGGTCATCGACAGCCTTGACGTGTGACGAGCCGTTGGCGGCCGGACTCCGCTCATAGTTGGACATTGGCGGAGAGACAGGCGCGGTGGTGGTAGAGGCCCACGACTGAAGGTCTGCCGGCGGCGAGGGTCTTGAGGAGTAGGAGGACGAAGACGGGCTCACCAGTTCGGGAGGCGTGTCCGGGGCGGCCAGGTGAGGGTGGAGTTCCAATGCTGATATCCCCATTGAAAGAGTGATAAGTTGAGAGTTATGTGTGGTCAAAAGCGGCGGGGCATCCCTTGGGGAGAGTCTGGGTTCTTCTGCGTCGAGAGGAGAGCTCGGAACCGCTCGAGAAGCAGGCGACGACGGGTGGCAGATGGGGACCCGCGTTTATGCAGAGTTCAGAGTCAAGTATGCCCGTGTCTGTTGATGTACAAGAGCAAGCGTTGTGAGAGACGCTGGTGAAGACTGGCTGGGAAATGGCGGCGGGTGATCCTGTAAGAGGTCGTGCAATAAGAGTTGCCTCCAGCCAAAGGTTGATGAACACGGTGTGAGCGAGATGATGGCTGTTCTTGTGTGTACGCTCCGTGGAAGAGGAGGGAGGGCAGAAACTCGCAAGTCTTTCCTGAGATCTGAAGAGGGAGGAAGTCGAGGTCAAGGAAGAAGAGGCTGTGGTCCAAGTCAAGTGTGCGAGGGGGTCTGGTGGCTTTTTCAAAAGACCAGAAGGAGCAGGCAGCGCGAAACGGCATATGGTACAGCCACCAGTCTCCATTATGTATACATGTACCAAGCGAACCCCTTGGCAGGCCTCACAGGGAAACGAGTAACGTAAAGATACCCCGAGTAGCTAGATGGAGACTAAAGGGACCAACAGCCTGGATTGGGCTTGGCTTCATTAGACTTGGGGGTGGGTAGAGGGAGAAGGGGGGGGGATGGCAGCCGGGAAGAGGCACCGATAAAGTGCTGCAAGTGCGCTCCTCCGCACACGACGGGAGCGAAGTACCGCCTTCTAGGCTCGCACACGTGCAATAGATCATGGTGTTGCCGACACCCCCCCCCCCCCCCCCTGGTGGCCGCTTCGCTATGGGGACGGCCCTTGGCGGGGGTGAGTTCAGGAGGAGGGCTAATCAAGCTCTAGCGGACTTTCGACAACTCTGCTCATTGTCATGCCCGATCCAGAGCGACCGGACCAATAGTGTGACTAGATCCCCGAGGGGCAGAATCCTTTGGCTCAAGTCCACAAGCACCAGTCGTGCGTTAAGGTGTTCGTCGTTTCGGGCGGCGGCCATCTGCGATCTGAGCATGTGCGCGCCTGGTCGGAGCGAAATGTGGGAAAATAACGCTTCTGTGCCAGCGACGAACCCAAGCCATCGTGGGCGAGCAACATCCTCGGCATCGGGCAAGCGAGCTGACAGACAACTTGCTGTTTGCTCATGTGCGTGTGTCTTGGCCGCAGAGCACGTTCTCCCATGTGGTTTCTGCGACAAAGTGTGATAGAGACCAGGGAGTCAGATGCTGCGACATGGGGCCGCCGGGGGCTCGCAGCCGAGCCAGGGCATCCTTGAAGACGGGAAGGATAAGACGGGGAAGGCAGGTGAAAGAACAAAAGAGGCGAAAAACGTGCCAAGCGTACAGGCATGCCAGCGTACAAAACATGCCATTGCGAGGCCAGACTATTGGGCGCTTATGCTGAAAGTGCGTTGAATGACGGCATCAATCTTACGAGGGAGCGGAACAGCCTGGAGGCGGCTGTTCAGGTACGGTGCACACGCGCGCCGGGCGGGCCAGGGGTTCACATTCATTTTGCGGTGGGCGAACAGTTTGGAAGCATGGCTTTGCGCTCGCGTCTAGAAGAAGATGGTGACGCATCAAGACAGCCGGCCTCTCTGAGCCACGCAAGCAAGGGAACTGATCCTTTCGAGTGGTGAAATGGTTGATAGTTGACAGGCAGCTGAGCTGAGGAGGGATGAAGGGGGGGGGGGGGGGGACTCACATTGCGAGACAAAGAGCGCCTCAACGAAATGGTTGCCAGAGACGGTACCGACCCAGCAGTGAGTGTCAAGGGCAAATTCGGGTCGGGTTGGCGGTCCAGTGATGCAGCAGCCGTCGGCGCGGGGTTGGCGATTCGGGTGTCAGGCATTTTACCCTCGCACAGAATAGACCCGATGCCCTGGCTGAGGGGAGAGAGGACATCAGACGAACAAAGCTATGGTGATGATGTGCGCTGGGGAACGTGCCGTTGTGTACATGTAATGGGTATCGCATCACGGGCGGCCGGGGTGCCCAGCACAACAACGCTTGTGGCACTGCCAGAGCCAAAAGTACCCTTTCGCCCTCTCTGTACCTGCCTCTCTGGTGCAGGTGCAGGGCGAGGCTTCGAGAGCGCCATGCCATCGCTTATTATGCCTGTGCCTGTGCCTGTGCCTGTGCCAGTGCCAGCGAGAACCCAGGCCAGGCCAGCCAGCGCCCAGCCTCCTGAAGAGCGTCCTGAACCAGTGCCCAGACCAAATGTCCAGTCCAGCCAGACAGAGGGTGCGCGAGTGGTGTGAGTGGAAACCCCGACACCTTGCATTGATAGTAGGAGCTAGCGAGATGCGCCCGGCACTGTCGAGGTTAGGGCGATCCCACAGCCCTGGGTGCACTGTGGAGGTACTTCATGTCCGCGTGGTGACTCCTTGAGGCCATAGTGCCACCTGTGTGTGTTTGGCTAAACTATCCAAGGCGTATATGTGGCTTGTCTTGTCCTGTCATGATTTCTTGTGGCGGGTATCGGCCACATATGCTTCTCAAATCTCGGCATTCGGCCGCTCTGTACCTGGTCATGGCCAGTTGCTGTTGAAGACAATCGGAAGAGGGCCGTTCAACAGTCCAGGCTCGTCTTCTTACTTGTCTTTAATTTTTGCTGCCGGCTTGCCTGACGCTCTCCTTGTGGAAATAGCCAGCGGCTGACGAAGACACGCCGGGGATGCCGCGACGCTAGCGGAGTGTTGGTGAGCCGTTGGCAACTGGTCACCAGAGAGAGAGAGAGGACCCTCACCTGTGGCGACAGCGGGGGGGCCAGGGCCAGCAAGGAACAGACATCCGAGTGAGAGGGGGTCGTCCATCGGATGCTGCTCGGTGGGCCATAGCCATCGCGACATTCCCTGGACGTGGAACAGGTGGTGGAAGAATGGCATGATGCTGACTTGGAGTCCATGGCACGCGCGCGCGCGCCGCATGCCTGCTGCCGACTTATCTCCCATTCTTGGCAACTAGTCCGAAATGTGCTCGTGGCACGGCTGCGTGACGAAGCCGATACGATTGTCTCGTCTGCTCCCGTCCGTCTTATTGACGATCGTGTTGAGGAGGGGGAAAGGAAAAACATGTCGCTCAGCCATGTCTCATCTCGTTCAGGCGTCGATCCGGGCCACGGCCAACGGGCAGCGTGGTTAGCTCGGACTAGACGAGGGCTGGACGCGGTTGCTTGATGGTTGCTCTGACCGACTCTAGCCTGGTGGTGTCGGGACATGGCTGCTGAACTGAACAACAATTGACACGAGGAACCGTCTGCGAAAGTCGAGGAGAGGAACGTGGGCTGGTGGGACGCTGGCATACCACCGTCGACGCCGCCGTTCACCATCATCGTTGGCGCCAAAGACTAGTGTCGCCGCCGAGGCAGAAAGTATGGTGAGTCCGTGGGGCAAGGGGGCGGGGGGGACGACAGCTTGTTCAGTGTGGTGACTGACCACATATCGTCAGGTCACCAAAGCTGTCTGCCCTACGTTGAGTGATACATGTCATACACCACCACACCTTCAGTGTCGCCCGAGTCGGGTTTGCCGTGATGTCTTTAGGATTTCGAGTCATGGTGGGGTTGCGAACGGGGTCTCGAGGCCTCGTGTTTCTTGGCCGTGGAGAGATATCCACGGGGGGTATTGGAGCCTGGAATGGGGCTTGGTTACACGCTCGGAGCCACGGGCTATGTCTTCAGGACGCTTGAGAGGCGTGGGCCGCAACCAGGATCGGATCGGGGACGTCGGGGCCACGGGCGTGAGGCGAAAGGCGACAGATGCCAGGGTGGAAACGGACAGTGTCGCATGCAAACAAAAAAAAAAAAAAAAAAAAAAAAAAAAAAAAAAAAAAAAACCCACAGGGAAAAAAAAACCGATGGTGCGTGCGATAGGAGCTAGGTGCCGAGAAGTGGAGGATGGGAGATGGGGGGTGTGATGTGATGGAGCATGGAGGAGCCTGTAAGCCTGGAACAAGCTCCGGAGTTAGCTGGAGGAAGATGGAGCCAGACGAGCATCTGTTCTAATGCTGGAGCGCTGGAGTTCTGGAGTGCTGGCGTGCTGGCGTGCTGGCGTGCTGGCTGGGCGAGGAGCAGCAGGTGGACAGTGGAGTGAGCAGAAGAAGGAGCACCCCCCTCCACTCTCCTGCTTCGAAGGATTGCGGTCATCACTCATACGTAAGGTAAGGTACGTAGGGCCACAGGGGGCGGAAAGGAGGAGGCAACAGCCCTGGACCAGACCTCGTCGGCCCTTGCCTTCGCCTGCCGGCTTATCCTATCTTCAACACTCAACCATCCGAGGGATGGGGCTCTCGGACATGGGATGAGAAGGCGCAACACGCGTGAATCGTGCGTTCCTGCTTCAGCTGTCATGAAGGAGTCAGGAAGCTGGCGGCTGAGGGTTGGGCCTTTCGGAAGGCCGACACGGAAGACGGATGACAAGAGAATCAACGGAAGGCGGAAGCACTAACGGGCCCTTACCCACCGGCATTGGTATCACTGGATCCGAAGGTACCCACGTACCTGCCCACACGGTACCTACTGTAGGTACATTACACCAATCTTGAGCCACATGTGCGCGGTATATGTGATGTGAAGGTAATAAAGGTCCCTAGGTACATTACACAGTGTTCCCCGCGACTCGAGGGTTGCAACGACACGGTGCCATGATGCCATGGCAATTTCCTGACCCCACCTCTCTCCTGCTGCGTGATGATGGGGTACTTTTGCTTCTCTTTGTGCACCAACTCAACAAGCGAAGCGCCCAGGGAGGCAAAAAAATCATGCTGCGGCTGTGGCCGGCGTCCATGAGAGAGTTTTGCCTGAGAAATGCGCGGACAAAGGCAAACGAGTCGCGCGACGCCTCCTGGCTAGGGATCGGACCCGGACTCCGGACTCGAGTGGGCTTGAACACGGATCATGTTAAAATGTGAAAAAATCATGGATCTTGCTCACCAGCCACAAACCAGAGACACAGGGT